TTTTGAGTTATAAGAGACAGACATAGCTTAATAAGGTTTTACTATTTTCTAGTTTTTATTTTGATTAAATCTACCCCTGTATTCTTTAGTTTGCTCGCTGGTCTTTTTTTCTATTCTGAGTTGAGATCTGTTCATATATCAGTCTTTTTTTCTGTTTTCAACACCATTTAAGGCCATACATTTTCTAAGGACCGTTTTGGTTGCTATCAGATCAAAACCTGAGTTGCTGAATCTTAAGAATGGGTGGCTAGCTGAGTTAGGGTTGCTTCCAGGTAGAAGTATCAACAGGATCAAAGGGACAGAGATGTATGGGAAAGAACATTCTGTGTGTGTGGCAGGAGATTCTAAGCAGTTTCATGTCGCTCAAGCTGGGAATAGCAGGATATGCTGGAAAGGTAGGCAGAGCTAGATCATGGATATCCCTGATGCTTTACTAAGGAGTTAGATTTCATCTGTAGATGGAGAGCCATGAAAGACTTTAAGAAGAAAACAGGCTGGGCGCGTGGCTCACGCCTGTAATCCCAGCACTTTGGGAGGCTGAGGTGGGCAGATCACAAGGTTAGGAGATTGAGACCATTCTGGCCAGCATGGTGAAACCTCGTTCTACTAAAAATACAAAACAGAGTCACATGGCAACGCATGCCTGTAATCCCAGCTATTCTTGGGAGGCTGAGGCAGGAGAATCGCTTGAACCCGGGAGGCGGAGGTTGCAGTGAGCTGAGATCGCACCACTGCACTCCAACATGGCGATGCCAGACTCCGTCTCAAAAAAAAGAAAAAGAGAGAAACAAAATACCTTCTTGCAATGGAAACTAGAAAGAACACTCCACTCTCTCCAGACACACAGCCTTTAGTCCTCAAAAACGCCTTATAGGTGCTCTTTGTTCATTTGGGGTTTGCTCATGGCAACATTAGGATGTCAGACCAGGCTCTGAGCTAAGTGAGGGGCATTGCTTCTGACCAGATACCTTGAAGAAATGCTTGGAGAGTTCTCTCTCCTGCTCCTATCCCATTTCTGTTATTAAAGGAAATGTGTAAATGCCTCAGGTGAGACCTCTCTGCACACTTCCTTGGTTTTCTGAGCCAAGCTCTATTAATCCACCTGAGCAAATGAAGACCATAGTGCAGAGACAAAACACACATCCTCAGCTGGAATGCGTGCAGAAGCACTTGGCCCTGGCCAGCCTTGAGGAGTTGGCCAAGGGCTGGAGTAGCGGATCTGTGCTTTCTTAGTGTACCTCAGTTCCCTGGATAGCCCAAGGGCTCCAGAGCACCAGGTCTTGCCTCATTCATCCCTGCCCTCCTCCAATCCCTACCTAAGCCATGTCACACATCCCTGCTCGGGGAAGTAGAAACTCCTCGCATATCACTCCTGCAAGAGGGTACAGTCAGCCCATCACCCAAAGCTTGAGTGATCAGCTCAGCCTCAAGCACGTGGGCTGGGGTTAAGTCCCGGAAAGGGAGCCAGGTCGGTGAGTGCTTCCCGGTCCACCTTGGGGCCGCTTTCCACAAGACACACCGAAGCTCTCCAGCCTTCCTGAGAGCCTAACCTCAGTGCATTGTTGGCTGAAAGCATTCCTGTCTACTTTCCTGCCTCTGCCAAAGATTTCCTTCTATTTCCCGGACTTGGAGTGAGCCAGGGGCTCAGGAGATGGGTTTGCCTAAAGCTCCCCGCAAAAGAACCACTCTGCCTGTTGTCAGTAGTTCTGGCAAGAAGCAGAGTTATTGAAGAGAGCATGAAAGCAGGCACCTGGGTGGTCCTCATGTGTAAATGAACAGAGCATCTTCTGTGCAGGTCTGATGTGAGCATTGTATGAGATACTGTGTGCAAATTATCTGGCACTTAGGACTCAATACAAGGCAGCTGCCGATGACTTCAAAGTGCCTTTTCTTTGCAACAGAAGAGAAATCATCACAGAATGCTGAAGAGTCAGGATGAGGAGGAGAATAATCCAAAGCGAGAGACTTCGTCAGCCATCCTCAGAGGATGCCCGCGTTTCCAGGCATGGATCCGGCAGGAAAAGCAAAGGTACTAGACCTCTCACCAAGAGTTACCTGGTGGGTATGCTCTCAACCTTAGCAGCATAAAGAACAGATTCCTTCCTTCCTTCCTTCCTTCCTTCCTTCCTTCCTTCCTTCCTTCCTTCCTTCCTTCCTTCCTTCCTCTTCCTTCCTTCCTTCTCTTTCCCCTCCCTCTTTCCTCCTTTCCTTTCTTTCCTTCTTCCTCCCTCTTTCTTTCTCTTCCTTCCTTCCTTTTTATCCTTCCTTTTTCCTTCCTTCCTTCCTCCTTCCTTCATTTTCACCCATTTTTGAAATCATTTAAGATTCAAAGGAAGTTACAAAAATAACCCAGGGAGTTTCTCCATACCCTTCACCCAGCTTCACCCACTTGATAGTATCTCACATGACTACAGCACATTGGCAAACAGGGAAATTGGCCTTGGTACAATACCATTAACAATACTACTAATTCATTTGGATTTCACCAGTGGCCCTGTGTTGCTTAATCTTTGCTTTCTTTCTTTCTTTTTTTTTTTTTTTTTTGAGATGGAGTCTTGCTCTGTTGCCCAGGCTGGAGTGCGGTGGCCGATCCCAGCTTCAGTGCAAGCTCCGGGCCTCAGATTTACGCCATTCTTTTCTGCCTCAGCTTCTCCTGAGTAGCTGGGACCACAGGCACCCACCACTCGCCCGGCTAGTTTTTGTATTTTTAGTAGAGATGGGTTTCACCGTACACAGATGGTCCAACCTCACATCTCATGGATCCGCCCGCCTCGGCCTCCCAAAGTGCTGGGATTACAGGCGTGAGCCACCGCACCCAGCCAATCTCTGCTTTCTGACTCTCCTCCACCCCCAAACCTGCTGCTGTATTTGGTGTCATAGCTAAGCCAAGTGGGCTGATAATCCAATTGGTGGTGCTCACCGTGCTGAGTGTCGGAAGCAGAGTGAACAAAACTCAGGCTGTTGAAGCCCTTGAGGAATCAAGACTGGGTAAGGCAGGCACAGAAAATGGTCATTTCAATTCCAGATGACACAGGAAGCCAGTGCTGGAACCACATCCCAGTTTCCCAGACTGCACCAGAATGCCAAATGTATTATGCAATGCCGAGGAAAGGCTGAGCTGCCTCCTCCTCCCCACCTCCAACTCTCAAATGTGTCTCATAGTCCTGGGACCAAGTGGTGCATCTCATTTGGGTGAGGAAAGAGGCTCCTTTTGCTCCCTGTTCTGTGCCAGACATCATGCGCCTGCAAACTCACTTTATGCTCCAGCAGCCTTGCAAAAGGTAGCTCTTTTCTCCTTTTATTGAAGAAGAAATGAAAGCAAAAGCCTGACCTGTTGGTACCAACTCTGTGTATCCCATGGCCACACAGTCCCCGTGTGGGAGCGCTGTGACTGCTGCTCCTTTTAGTAGACGGAAGTTTTGCTTTTCTGTCATTTCTTCAAGAATAGAAAGCCGTCAGTAGTGGATGCTGTCCCTATAATTGATTTTACAGGCCCTTGAAGTGTGAACATCTGTCAGCCACTAGAACTAGGTTGGAGGCTTTTCCTCCCTCCCTCCCTCCCTCCCTCCTTCCTTCCTTCCTTCTTCCTTCCTTCCTTCCTTCCTTCCTTCCTTCCTTCCTTCCTTCCTTCCTTCCTTCCTTCCTTCCTTCCTCTTCCCTCCCTCCCTCTTTTCTCTTCTCTTTCCTGCTTTTCTCTTCTTTTCTTTCCTCCCTCCTCTCCCCTCCCCTCCTCCCTCCTTCCTCCTCCATATCCCTCCTCCCACCTCCTCCTCCCTCCCCTCCTCCCCTCCTCCCATCTCCCTCTCCCTGCCCCCCTCCCATCTCCCAAACTCCACCCCCTCCTCTCCTCTTTCTTCAACAGAGTCTCGTCTGTCACCCAGTAGGCTGGAGTGCAGTGGTGCAATCTCAGCTCACTGCAACTTCTGTTTTTGTCGGTGGAGGCCTGGAGAGAGGAGGAGAGCCAGCCAGGCCCTGGGTGTAGGCAGACAGAGGCCCCAGGGCCCTGGCGTGGATGCACCACAAGAAATGCTGAGACAGATCTTGGGATTCCAGAAGACAGCTGGAGTCCACTGTGCTCTGTGAAAATGGGGCTCTGGCCATTCATTCATCAGTATTAGCTTAAACTTCTTGAGCCTGGCAGCAGCTGCGTTAACTAATTAATCTCTACCATAGCAGTGCTAGGCAATCATTAACAACCAGGGAACTGGGCGCAGTGGCTCACGCCTGTAATCCCAGCACTTTGGGAGGCCAGGGTGGGCGTATCACAAGGTCAGGAGATCAAGATCATCCTGGCTAACACGGTGAAACCCCTGTCTCTACTAAAAATACAAAAAATTAGCTGGGCGTGGTGGCGGGCACCTGTAGTCCCAACTACTCAGGAGGCTGAGGCAGGAGAATGGCATGAACCCGGGAGGCGGAGCTTGCAGTGAGCTGAGATTGCGCCACTGCACACCAGCCTGGGTGACAGAGCGAGACTCTGTTTCAAAAAAAAAAGAAACAACCAGGGGAGGTTGCAGGGCTTGTTCTGAAAAGAACCCTGGAGTTGGGCTACAGGCAGACCTGGTGTGAATCCCAATTCATAAAAGCTGGGTGACTTTGGGATTGACCTTTGGGTGCTCTCGCCCTGTAAAATGGAGGAAAGCCTGAAAGAATCTTACTTACATGGAGCGAACTCACATGTATCATATTACTTGAGCCTGGTAGAGCCCAAATGATGGGTGATCAGTGCACAGAAGCCATCAGTGGACAATGGTGATGACTGCTGTTGCCGGGGGCTGACCCAGCACTGCCTGAGAGAGAAGCCACCTGCCACCACTCACACCTCAGGTCCTGCAAGGGAATTTTATGCATACCATTGTATTCCATCCCCAACATGCCCTCCAACAATGGGTGGATATTTGCCCTATGGTTTTCTTATGGGACTCTAATGGACTGTCAACAACTTCATTTTCTAGTTAAGCTGCCGCTGTTGGATGGAGGGAGCTGCTCTCTCCATGTAGGGTTGTCAGAGTGGCATGCCGTGCGCTGAGCACACTACAGATGGTGGCTTTTCAGCGAAAGAGAATGTGATTCTGTGGGTTTGGGTGGTGATTCCATCTTGGGGGTCGAGGGTGGCTGCTTGGAATGCCAGATTGACATCTGACTTTTCTCAGCCCCCACGTTTCCTGTCTGGCTTTATTCCGACTCAGGGGGCCCCGAGTGTTTGCAGAAGGCTCCTCGTACCTGAGGTTGCCATGGGAGGGGGCCCTTCCCCAGACAAAGGGCGGTTTACAGACTCAGCTCTCTTCTCTCCCCAGGCTCAGCTGCACAAGAGGCCAGAGGTGGACAGTCCTGGCGAGTCCCCCAGCTGGGCACCCCAGCCCAAGAGCCCCAAGTCCCCTTTCCAGCCTGGGGTGCTGGGCAGTCGCGTGCTGCCTTCCAGCATGGACAAGGATGAGAGGTGAGGGGTCTTGGGGAATGGGGGTCCCTCTCTTCCCAAACTCAGGCTGTACTTCTAGAGAGGTGCTCGCATAGGTTTTAGAGCTGAATAGAAGGGAGTTTCCACTTTTTAATTTTCTCTAGCAGCAGAAGCTTTGTTCATGTGAACTCTCAACACTCTCATCCCTCAAAAGGACATCAGAGGCCGGGGAAGGAGGCCAGGAATGAGGCCAGCTGGCCTCTCCTCTTCCCCCGCCCCTGCCACCTCCCGCACGGAACGCCAGGGCACCATTGTTGGAGAACTACTGCTCTTGTTTAGCCCTCTCCAGACCGACGGGGAAACTGAGGCATTCTCCTTCCTCTTACCCTTCGGGGAAGCATCTTTATCTTCAGCGATCTGGGGGACCTGGGAAGGTGGATCAAAGGGCACAGCCAGGTTGAATGAGATCAGTTTCACTCCCTTCGTGAAACAGCTATCCCGATCCTGGGCTCGGCCTGCTCTGTGTAGAAATGAGCACAAAGCAGCTTCTGCCCCCCAAGAGGCTCTCGGACTGGGGTGTTTCAGCATCTGGAGGTGGAAGTTAAGAACAGAGGATCGAAGGTCACACAGCCAGGGTTTAACTCCAGCTTTGCTGCTTAAGAGCTGCGTGACATGGGAAAAGGCACTTGACCTCCTGAACCTCAGTTTCCTCATCTGTAAAATGGGTTTTCTAACCTCCTAACCTTCCGAGGTGGTCATGAGGATGAAACAAGAGTGTGTCTAAAGCCCTTTGCCTGAGCCCTGGGATGTAGAAGTACTCAGTGAGGCAGAGTGGAAATCTTATGAGCACTGTTAACCCGTGAAAGTTAGAGATCGTTCCTGATGCTGAGTTGTAATGATAGTAAGTGCTGGCTGGATCAGAACGAGGGTGGGTAAGCTATGGCCCACAGGCCAAATCCAGCCCCCATCTGTTTTTGTAAGTAAGCTTTGTTGGAACAGAGCCACATGCATTCATTTATGTACTGTCTATAACTGCTTTAGTGCTACCGCTGCAGAGTTAAGAAGTAGCGCAGACACCCCACGGCCCACAGAGTCAGGAATTTACTCTCTGGCCCTTTCTCTGACCCCTGTGATGGAGGGAGGCAGAGGAAGGGCTCATCATGCACACTTGAGGATGGGCGGCAAAAAGACTTCAGCTGGGTGCAGTGGCTCACATCTATAATCCCAGTACTTTCGAAGACAGAGGTGAGAGGATCTCTTGAGGCCAGGAGTTGGAGGCAGTAGTGAGCTATGATTGCACCATTGCACTCCAGCCTGGACCACAGAATGAGACCTTGTCTCAAAAAATAAAAAAAGAAATAAAGAAAAGAAAAAAACTTAGCTGGCTGTGGTGGCACATGCCTGTGGTCCCAAGTACTCCAGAGGCTGAAGTGAGAGGATCCCTTGAGCCCAGGAGATGGAGGCTATGATCGTGCCACTGCACTCCAGTCTGGGCAATGCAGTGAATCCCTGCCTCTCTAATAAAAAAAAAAAGAAGCTTCCAAGAGAAGGAGATACTTGAACTGAATCATGGTGGACATTTGGGTCTTAGCTGGACCAAGGGCAGTGAGAGGGGATCCCAGGCTAAAGCTGCTGCGCATACAAAGGCCTGGAGGCCAGATGGACCTGGGAGCCTCAGGCAGTGCACGATACATAGCACAGTGTGGGCTGTGGGAACCTGAAGGCGAGACATGAGAGAGAGACAGGGCCATAGTTGAGACAGTGCCTCCCTGCTCTGGTAATGCCAGAATTCCAGCTCCAAAGTCTGTGGAGGGCTCTAGCATTTCTCTGTGGCTGGAGGAACCCCCAGACCAGGGTCTCAGAGGCATCTCTGGAGGCCTGGGCTTGTGTCTCCACTATTAGGCAAAGCTTGGCTGAGGTCTAGAGTACCCTAGACCCTCATCTGCCCAGGGGGCCCTCTTCTTCCTCATTACTAGACTGGCAGGCATAGCAGTTGAAGGTCTGCCCCTAGACTCCAGTCACCTCATCTCTCGTCCCCTCAGGTGCAGACCCTGACCGTACCGCCAACCAGGCCAGCATCTTTTCTGACCCTCCAGGGCCATGGGTCTCAGGAGTTTTCTCTGAGAACAGAATCAGTCACATCCTGTGTGCATGTGTGTTTGATTATAAACGCAGTAGATCTTCACTGTAGAAAATATGAAAATAATACAAAGGGGAAAAGAAAATCATCCACGATCCCACCGTGCAAAGACCACTACTGTTGATATCTGGGCATCTCTCCTTCCATTTTCTTTTTCTTTGTAACAGCTGAGATCACAACGTTTGCAGAGTTTGATTCCCCTGCTCCGTGTTCTATATGAATATTTTCCCGAGCCTGTTTACAATCTTCATAAACGTGATTTTTTTTTCTTGAATAAAGTTTTAAACAATGATGACTTTATTGTTTTTCGTTTTGCTTTATTTTTTGTTTTTGAGAGAGGGTCTCACTCTGTTGCCCAGGCTGGAGTACAGTGGCGTGATTATAGCCTCCACCTCTCCAGTCTCAGGTGAATCCCCTGCCTCAGCCTCCATGAGTGGCTGGGACCATAGTTGTGTGCCACCATGCCTGGCTAATTTTTGTATTTTTTTGTAGAGAAAGGATTTCGCCATGTTGCCCAGGCAGGTCTCGAATCCCTGGGCGATCCTCTGCCTCCCAAAGTGCTAGGATTACAGGCATGAGCTACCGTGCCTGGCCTGACTTTGTTGTTTTTATTAAAATGATGTGTTCTCATTGTAAGAAATTCTGAGAACACAGAAAACTGCTAAGAAGAAGGTAAAAAAAATAAAGCTCAAAAATAGTACCATGTAGATGGTGGCTACTCAAATGTATTCACTTTGAGAAAATTCATTGAGCTATGCACATTTTGATTTGAGTGGCTTTCTGTATGTGTTCTTCCATTTTAAAAAGTTTAAACAGGCTGGGCACGGTGGCTCACACCTGTAATCCCAGCACTTTGGGAGGCCGAGTCAGGCAGATCACAATGTCAGGAGATTGAGACCATTCTGCCTAACACAGTGAAACTCCATCTCTACTAAAAATACAAAAAATTAGCCGGGCGTGGTGGCGGGCGCCTGTAGTCCCAGCTACTGGGGAGGCTGAGGCAGGAGAATGGCGTGAACCCGGGAGGCAGAGCTTGCAGTGAGCCGAGATCGTGCCACTGTACTCCAGCCTGGGCGACAGAGCAAGACTCCATCTCAAAAAAAAAAAAAAAAAAAAAAGTTTAAACAAATCTCACCTCCCCAAAACAATAATTATTGACATTCAATAAACAAAAGGCATCTCTGTTTGTCTTATGGGCATTGTATTGTTCAGAGTTCTCCAGAGAAACAGAACCAGTCGTGTGTGTGTGTGTAAATAATACAGTTGACCCCTGAACAAGGCAGAGATTAGGGGTACTGACCTCCTACCTAGTCAAAAATCTGCGTGTAGCTTTTGATTTTCTAAAACCTAACTACTAATAGCCTAGGATTGACCAGAAGCCTCACCCATAACCACATATATTTTGTATGTTATATTTTATATATTCTTACAATAAAGTAAGCTAGAGAAAAGATGTTATTAAGAGCATATAAGGAAGAGAAAATGTATTTCCTATTCATTAAGTGGAAGTGGATCATCATAAAGGTCTTCATCCTTCATCCTCATTGTTTTCCCATTGAGCAGGCTGAGGGGGAGGCGGAAGAAGAGGGGTTGGTCTTGCTGCCTCAGCGGTGGCAGAGGCAGAAGAAAATCCAAGTGGACTCACACAGTTCAAACTGTGTTGTTCAAGGGTCAGCTGTATATACATGCGCATATATATGTATGCACGTGTAGACACTTGTATGTATGTATAGAGATTGGTTTTAAGGAATTGGCTCATGTGATTGTGGAGGAAGACAAGTCCAAAATCTGCAGAGTAGACCAGCAGGCTGGGGGTGCAAGGAAGAGTCCAAGTTCAAAAGGCTTCCCTCTTCTTCCTGGAAGGCCAGTCTTTCTCTTTTCTTTTCTTTTCTTTTGAGACGGAGTCTCACTCTGTCGCTCTGGCTGGAGTACAGTGGCGCTATCTTGGCTTACTGCAAGCTCCGCCTCCCAGGTTCCTGCCATTCTCCTGCCTCCGCCTCCCAAGTAGCTGGGACTACAGGCACCTGCCACCATGCCTGGCTAATTTTTTTTGTGTATTTTTAGTAGAGACAGAGTTTCACCCTGTTAGCCAGGATGGTCTCGATCTTCTGACCTTATAATCCGCCCACCTCGGCCTCCCAAAGTGCTGGGATTACAGGCGTGAGCCACCGCACCTGGTGAGGCCAGTCTTTTTCTATTCAGGCCTTTAACTGAATAGATGAGGCCCTTTCATATCACGAAGGGTAGTCTGCGCTACTCAGCGCCTACTATTTAAATGTTAACCTCATCTAAGAAAAAATGTCTTTGCATAAACATCTAGAATAATGTCTGACCAAATATCTGGGTACACATTAGGTTTAAATTGATGCATAAAACTAACCATCAGAGACACTTACCTGGATAGAGGGATGGAAGGATGAATAGCTATTTGCATGACAAATGGATGGATGGAAATCATTTTATATAAGATAAATTTTTTGTTTTTTTGTTTGCGTTTTGTGGAGAATGGGGTCTCACTGTGTTGCCCAGGCTGGTCTCAAACTCCTGGGCTCAAGCTATCCTCCTGCCTCTGCCTCCCTAAGTGTTGGAGTTACAGGCATGAGCCACTGTGCCCAACCAAGATATATTTTTATACCTGCAGATTATCTCCTAGAACAGATATACTGTGATTTATTTCAGCGGTCCCCAACCTTTCTGGCACCATGGACCAGTTTTGCGGAAGACAATTTTTCCACAGACCGGGGTACAGGGGGTGGTTTTGTAATGATTCAAACACATTACATTCACTGTGTACTTTATTTCTATTATTATTACATTGTTATTATAATGAAGTAATTCTACAACTCGCAGTAATGTAGAATCAGTGAGAACCCTGAGCTTGTTTTCCTGCAACTAGACGGTACCATCCAGGGGTGACGGGAGACAGTGACAGATCATCAGGCATTAGATTCTCATAAGGAGCCCGCAACCTAGATCCCGCGCATGCGCAGTTCACTATAGGGTTCACGCTCCTATGAGAATCTAATGCTGCCGCTGATCTCACAGGAGGTGGAGATCAGGTGGAACGTGAGTGATGGGGAGAGGCTGTGAATACAGACGACGCTTCACTCACTCTCCCACCACTCACCTCTTGCTGTGTGGTCCCCGTTCCTAACAGGCCGTGGACCAGTATCGGTCTGTGGCCCAGGAGGTTGGGGACCCCTGATGTATTTAATATTCCCCATTGTTGGACACTGGTTAATTTCTACTGCTCGCTTATCAGTCCCGTTAATACGTGCATCTTTGCCACCTCCGAGTGCTTGCCGCAGCCCCGCCTGGGCCCAGGGATAGACAGTCGGGTACCACTCAGTCCTGCCCGCGAGGAGCCCACAGTCTGGTTTCAGCTAGTCTCTTACTGGCTTTATGGTTTCAGGTCGGATGAACCCTCTCCCCAGTGGCTAAAGGAATTGAAATCCAAGAAGAGGCAAAGTCTTCATGAGAACCAAGTTTGACCAGGTATGAAGGGGCTCTGCCGGGGAACCTGGGAAGAACCCTGCAGTCACAGGAATGGGGAACTCAGTTAGGGTGGCCAAGCCTCAGAGACTGGGGCTGTTGTACCCAAGGAAAGAGGCTGTGCAAGGGGAGAAGTGAGGGGTGGGGAGTGTTCAGAGTTCCTGTAAAGAGGATGGTGATGTCTGTTTCCATTTAGGGAGGAAACAAAGCTGGGCTGCCTGGAGTGGGTGAAAGGCACCAGGCCAGGAGGCAGGTGACCGGGGTTCTGGGCTCATGCGTTTGGCTGGCCCTTCTAGCTGCATCACCTTTTGTTAATAAAACAAAAGGGCGGGACATCAGAGGTTATAATAAGTAAAAATGGTTACTTTTTTTTTTTTTGAGATGGAGTTCCACCCTTGTCACCCAGGCTGGAGTGCAGTGATGCAATCTCGGATCTCAGCTCACTGCAACCTCCACCTCCTGGGTTCAAGCGATTCTCCTGCCTCAGCTTCCCAATTAGCTGGAATTACAGGCGCCTGCCACCATGCCCAGCTAATTTTTATATTTTTGTAGAGATGGAGTTTCACCATGTTGGACAGGCTGGTCTCGAACTCCTGACCTCAGGTGATCTGTTCACCTCGGCCTCCCAAAGTGCTGGGATTATAGGCGTGAGCCACCACGCCTGGCCAGAAATGGTTACAGTTTTTATGGGGAGAATGTTTCATGTACAGCCTATGTAGTTAAAAATCAATTTGAAAAAATATACATTAAAAAAATCACGATTAGATAGGCACTGGTGTAAGTTGCAAATGACTGAACATCATGAACTTCAGTTTCCTCATCTGTAAAATGGGTAAGCAGTGTCCACACCGCCAGGCTGTCCTCAGGGCCCACTGAGAATGTACCTGTGGTGCTTGACCGAGCGCTGCCTGATGGTACATGCACCATCAAAGTCAGCATTGATGTGATTAGCACAAGAGACTCACCATCCCTTATCCACAAAATTCCAGAAAGCTCTGCAAACAAAGCTTTTTCCTAACGCAGTGGTGAAACCTGACCTGAGTGAATATAATTCTACTTCAACTCTTTTTTCCCCACTTTATATGAATGTTCATAATACACTGCAGGCATATTATCTGCTTGATTATGCTGGTGTTACGTATGTGTATATATACGTATATGTGTATATGTTACATGATTATATATGATGCACATGTGTGTGTATAATAAATTCTAAAAATTATAAATTCCCAAATAAAACTATGCTTAAGGGATTTGGATAAGGGATCGGGACCTGTGTTTATTTTGTGTTTGGTGCAGTACATGTAATATCTCATTTAAGCCTCCAGCAACAACCCCTTTGAGGAAACAGGCTCAGAATTGAGACTGGAACCCTGATCTGACCCTAAATTTCGTGTTGGTTTCATGGTATTCCATGACTGCCACCCTCCTCACCTCCCCTTTCCCCCGACACAAAAAAAAAACTATTTTCTGACCTGAGGCTTCTAGGGGTCTCTTTATTGGAGAATGTCAGGCGAGGTTTTAAGGCCTGATGGTAGAGAGAAATGGAGTCAAACGTTCTCACCGCTGACACCAGGACTGTCCCTTCCTCTCCAGGCAGGGAACCCTGCTACGTCTACTGAACAGAAGCCTTAACCGTCAGAACCCGCAGACGGGGCCGAGCTGCTGCCGTTTCTTCCTGCACAATGCTTACGTGCCTGGGCCCTTCCCGTTGGATTGAGAATGCTATCCAGTGCCCCCGTCCTCGCCAGGCTCTCCCTGGATCCAGACGGGAAGACCCAACCTCCAGGAGCACTCGCTCATCTCCCCAGACAGCACTTCAGGCTGGGAAAGGAGCCAGGCTGCCCAGAAATGTCTACGTGGGTGGTTTTGCTTTTTATGTAAAAATGTGTATTTCTACCTACTTTAGACACCTTCATCAGCCCCAAGAACATCAGCACGAGGCTGGAATTGCCTCCCCAGGTTCTGAAAAACACCTGAATTTGTGAAAGGACCTCCTCAGCCGACCCAGGGCAGGTCTTTTTTGGGAAGGACATTTCCAAGGAAGATCACACTGTTCATTTCCTGCTGTAGTCTCGATGCAAGGCATTACCGCCGAGTTGAGGGGTTTTATTCTTTTTTTGGGGGTGAGTTCCTTCTTCCCCTCGAGGAATCAGCAAGTCCAATTTTTAAACGTACCCTCCCTTATTGTGTGTATTTCTCTTTCTAGTGGGGCTGTGCGCGTCACTGGCCTACGTTATTGTATGTCATTTTTGTTGGCTTTAGAAGGCGATAAAGCAATAATTCAGCTAATTTTCTTTGAAACTTGATATGTATGTATGTGTTTACGTTAAGGGACAGGAGGAAAGATGTGTGAATAATTTGTTCTGAAGTATCCAGTCACCTCAGGTTATCTTATCCCTATCCAAGCTGTTTAGAAGTTATAATTGTCGCTCTTGTATGTATTTCCCTGGCTTCTTTTCATTTGAGCTCTGGTTTCTGTAGGATGACCTTTGCCCCTTGGCCTTAAGGGTTCGTAAACTGCAGCCCAAGTGGTGGTGCCTTTACCACTGAATCATCAGACCTGCCCTAGGAATCTTTTTCTCCAGAGTCTTCTTTGAACATGACCTGGGCTGCTGGCATGGAGGAGTTGTTCCAAACTGGCCTCAGAACAGATGCGTGAATGAAGGGTACTTTTTCTTTTGCTTACCTCATTTTCCCTCATTGAACTCCACCTGACCAAGTGCTTGTTTTGGTCCAAATGTGGGTCTTGCTGAAAGCCCTTCTCTGGAGGGGAGCTCCCCAGCGAAGGACTCTGGACAGAAATGCTGGGTGCTAGATGACAAATCATAAAGCTGGCCCTGCCTCCCTTTTTTCTTGCTAGCGATCAGCTCATTCCGGGGAATCCCCAAGACCTCTGGGGGCTCCAGACACTCTCTACCTTGTCTTTGTTTTTAGAAATGCCCAACACCAGACTCTTCCACTTCTGAGTCCTAAGGCTCTAGCAGATACCCAGATGTGCTTGGCTGGCCACCTGCCATGCCTGGACTTGCCATAGTCTATGTGCCAACCTTGCCTGGGAGATCCCCATCATGAGATGCTTGGGCAATTCATAGAGAGCCTGTGGCATGGGGTGGCGTTTCCTGGTAGATCCACGCACAGCACTCTGGCTAGATACGGAAGTGGGGGCCATGTGTGCCCTCTACTCCCTCCCCACAGTTTCCTGAGAGGTGAAAGTCTTTCTGGATGAATCCATTATTTGCAAATGCTGTCAAAACATGCTTCCCTTTTCCCTGGCTACCTCTCAGGAGTTCATTTGTCTCTCCATCTCAGCTTCCTCCTTCATCTCCCTTTACCCCTCTTCTCTCTCTCAATGGGTGGATGGGCATGGATAGAAATCCTCTGTTTCTCTAGGTCAAGACAAACACCTAGGCCCTAGTGAGGCGGTTGTTGTTCAGCACCAGGGACAGCAACTGCAGGGCTGTGAGGCAGGAGCCCACCTGTTCAATGAGCTTGCTTTGGTTACTGATGAGCAATTGCCGGACCATGCCACCACCCAGCCTTTTACACCTGGGAGCCTCATGCATCTGGGTTTGGGCGTTTGGCCCTGCTTGATGATAGTTTGTTTTCTCGTCATTCCCTGAATTAGTCATCTAGTCATCTGTGGCCATTTGGGGATTAATTCCTGCAACTGCTTCATTTGAATTCTTTTTTAAAGATCCAGTTTCTGTTTTATAATAATTTGGATCTTACGGCTTTCTAAGTCAATAGGATCCCCTTTAAAAAATACCTAGGGTTGTGTTTTGTTTTGTTTTTCTGAGACACGGTCTTGCTCTGTTGCTCAAGTTGGAGTGGAGTGGCACGATCATAGCTCACGGAAGCCTCTAACACCTGGGCTCAAGTGATTCTCCTGCCTTAACCTCTCAGGTAGCTGGGACTATGGTATATGCTACCATGACCAGCTAATTTTTTAATTTTTCTGTAGAGACAAGGATCTCACCATGTTGCCCAGGCTGGTCTCAAAATCCAACTTCTGGGCTCAAGCAATTCTCCCCCCTCAGCCTCCCAAAGTGCTGGGATTACAGACATGAACTACTGCATCTGGCCTAAAACACATTCCTAGTCTTTTGATGCTGACTTCTTATCTTGGCTGATGTCTGTCTTTCCTTCAGGTGGAAAGGACCCCTTTGTACCATCTCAAGCAGTAGGAAAGGAACTGCTCTTACATATATTGATGCTCCTCATGAAAACTCTCAATTCTTAATTAGTCATGTCTCAGCTCAAGGATATCAGACAGGAAGGAAGCACACTTGAAAATGAGATTGACTGGAGATTTTTTTCCCTAATCTCTCACACCTTAATTGGAAAAATAATCTATTTAATTCTGTGTTAATTAGGATATACAAAGTTCACCCTCCTTGAAAGTGACTAGGGCAAGCCCTGAAGATCTTCCTCACCTCCTTTTATTTTTCTGTAACCTTGTCTCCTCCAGCACCGCAGGATAGACAATCACAGTGAGTCAAGAATGACCCTCTTTTGTGCGGGCTCCGCCATGACCTCTGAACCCTGCTTATGAGCAGTGCAATGAAGTTAGAAGTAACTGATGATGGGGAGCCTTTGCAGATAGCTGGCAAGTGGGTAATTTACTTCTCCCTATTCTAAATGGAGTGCGCTGTCTTTGAGGCTAAGCAAGGGGGTGTTGTACGCTAGTTTCTAGACTTTGCTTGGAGACCCCTTTGGAAATCCGTCTTCTTTTTAATCTCACTTAACATGCCTTAATAATCCGTGTGCAATGGAGTCATCCACTCCTCATCCAACCCTCCTCCCCGGGGACTTTGACTGTCCTCAATGAGAGTCTCATGCAGAATGGAAATCCTCCATATGTACAATCTCTCACCCCTCCTCATTTCTCTTCCTCCTCACCTCCGCCACCCCTTTGCACATCAGCATTTTGACAGCTGGTCTTTTGAGAAGCCCGTGTCTTTTTCCTCTTCAGTAGATACCCTTCTTCATGGTCTTTTGCCTAATGAAACAGAAGCCTTTGGCCTTTGAAAATCCATGACGAGGCCTCAGAAATCAGTATTGTGGAGGATTACTCCATGCCACCAGAGACACTCTGGTGAAAGAGAAACTTCGTGGTCTTTAGGATGTTGGGATTTTGAGTGGTAGCCTCAGGATTCAGGGAAAGGACAATCAGATGGTGGTGTTTTCCAGGGAGACGAGCCAAATCACGTGGTTTCAGACACTTGTGTTTTCCTTTGTGCCTCCCTGGAAGGGAGGCCAACTTAAGGGTATCACCAAGAAGCCAGAACTGAAATAGGCATGAGCCTGTGGTTGTCAACTTTACAGGCTGGGCAAGGGATTTAGAAAGACCCTTAGCGTGATTTTCCTAAAAGAGACCTCAGCTGCTCTGACCTGGTGCTGATAGGTGCTTTGTTGATCTATGCTTTAATATTTTTCTTTATAATATGTCCCCAGATGGCTCCTGAAACTAGTCATAATTACAAACTGTAAAAATCCCTCCTCCCCAGTGTAGACATTTAAACCAGAGTAAGTGATGGGGAGACATTCTGTGATCTCTGAATGTGCCTTCCCCCTCACCATGTGTTAAAACACAAAAGCCGAAATTCCATGGCATCATGATTCCATGGGGCTGGAGGGTAGGACCCCCTCCACATCTAGAAGGGGATCTGCTTTGGGCTCGGTCCCGTTAGCGAGTAGGGGACCCTTGCTGTGTGCTGAGAGGCTGCTAGGACTCACCCAGTTGGAATTCTGGGCAGGCTCAAGAAGTCTAGAGCCACGTAAAAAACTGGTAGGCATGAATATGCCAGGTATTTGCCAACCTGTGTCTCCTTTTGCACCCCCCAATCCAGAGTTTTCTTTCTTTTGACTAAATTGGCTCCTGCAGGGGGAAGGGCAGAAAGCTAGGCCCTCTGCTCTGGGAAGTCGGCCTGAGGTTTCTGGCAAGTTAACTCTTAAAATCGACACCTCTCAGCCCACCCTCCCCTTTGGCCTTCCTAGAATCTCCTTCAGTGGTTGCTCTCCCACCTGTGCCATAACATCAACTTCCATGACTTGGACTGGCACTTCCTTGACAATCCCTGTTGGCATCACACCGGCTACAAATTATGCTGTTTTCTAAAGAATTTGAACTTTTTTCCTTCTTTTCTTGAAACAGGGTCTTGCTCTGTTGGCCAGGCTGGAATACAGTGGCACAATCATAGCTCACTGCAGCCTCCAACTCCTGGGCTCAAGCAATCCTCCCACCTCTGCCTCCGGAGTAGCCCAGATGACAGGCGCACACCACCACGCCCAACTGATTTTTTAAATCTTCTTTTTGTAGAAACAGGATCTTGCTATATTGCCCAAGCTGGTCTTTAACTTGGTCTCAAGCGATCCTCCCACCTCAGCCTCCCAAAGTCCTGGGATTACAGGCATGAGCCACCATGCCCAGCTGAATTTGAGCTTTTTAATAATCTCATTCCACATAGCCTTATAGATCCTGTAAATAGGGGGGTCACAAAAGTAATATATTGTGTTATGGAAGATAATTTTGTACTGTGCTGTTTCCTAAATCACAACAATATCCTAAAGTCATGCACTTCCCAGATGATCGTGATCCTCAAAACGCTTTGTAAGTTGGGGTAGGGTGTGGAAATACATATATATACACACAGACACACACACACATAAGTATAGTATATATTTTCCTAACCTTTCTTCTGGGTCCTTCCTCAGATCTTTGAGTCGCGATAGAAAAGGAACTTGAGTTCTTTGTGTAGGAAAGTTAAGCTTCCTGCCTGCGGTGTTCTTGCAATTGCCTTACGAATTCACAAGCTCTAGGAGTTCTGAACGGAAGGCAGACAAGAGGCACTTTATCCAATCCCAGAAAGAATCTCTACCCGTGGGACTGAGAATTCATCTAGAAAACCTTATATTTTTAATGTAAAAAAAAATGGGGCTTACCGGACCTCACAGAGTATTGGATGTCTACAAGTGCTTTTATATTTTGTAACTGTAAAGAGGTTTCATATGCACAGAAGAGCAGTTGGAAATCTGGTCAACTGCAATAAAACAAGATGACCTTTGCATGTACAAAGATGTTGCATTCAGACTATGAAAATAGCAAATAAAGCTTTGGTGCAAGCTGCATTGGAGAAGTCGGTGCGTCCATGTGTGAATGAATGGAGTCTCCCATGCATGCGGGCCCTGACTGGGGCTGGCTGAGTCAGTCTGTCCTGTGCTGAGCTGTGGGCCGGCCAGCAAGAGGACAGAGCTGGGGTCCTGGGAGAGGGTGTCCATGCAGAATGGGAAGCCATGGAAACAAGGCAAAATTTCCATTCAGACTGACAGGGGTTGAGTCCTCCTTCTGCCACCTCCTGGCTGTGGGATTTTCTTTTAAGCATTGGTTCTCCTTAGCTATACAATGGGAGTGGTGATTGGGACATTTGCAGGTAAGAGTTTAAGGCGGTGGTTCTCAACTGGGTGGGTTGTGCCCTCCAGAGCACGTCTGGCAATGACAGGAGGCATTATTGGTTATCACGAGGAGGAGAGAAGATGCTCCAGGAAGTGAGTAGAGGCCAGGGATGCTGCTCAGCAACCTGCAATGCACAGGACCGCTCCCACCCTGACCCCACCACAAAGAATGACCCGACCCCAAATGGCAGTAGTGTCAAGGTTGAAAAGTCTGGACTGGGGAGATGTGGTACATCAAAGTGATGAGCGCGCAGTCGGTCCGCAAGATCCTGAAAGATGTGATGGGAGGGGGAGCCACGCCATCCCCACCTGCCTTCCTCCTTTTATCCCAGCTGGTGGCAACTACATCCCAACTCGGGGTCCAAACCAACTGTGCTTTCTGTCACCTTCAGCAGGAAGTAGCCCCTTGGCTTGAACTGTCCAGAGTAGGCAGGATGCTGGGAATAAAAGTCAAAAATAACAGATACTGTGCGCAGTGCTGTGCTTATATGACCTCCCAAAATGACCCAAGTAGAGACAAGGTTCTCCATTTATGGGTGAGGAGACAGTAGCTCTGAGACCTTCAGGAACTCGTTCAAGGTTACACGGATCTGTGTGATGCAGAGTCCGGCTGTCATCCACAGCATCTCACCACTATCTCCCTCCAGGGGGTACAGGGTAACTGGGTTTGTTTGTTTTATTTTGTTTTTGTTTTTGTTTTTTGAGATACAGTCTTTCTCTGTCACCCAGGCTGGAGTGCAGTGGCGCGATCTCAGCTCACTGCAAGCTCCGCCACCCGAATTCACGCCATTCTCCTGCCTCAGCCTCCCGTGTAGCTGGGACTACAGGCGCCCCCCACCACGCCCGGCTAATTTTTTGTATTTTTGGTAGAGACGGGGTTTCACCGTGTTAGCCAGAATGGTCTCGATCTCCTGACTTCGCGATCCGCCTGCCTCGGCCTCCCAAAGTTCTGAGATTACTGGTGTGAGCCACTGCACCTGGCCGGTAACTGGGTTTTATGCTGACTTGAGGATTTTAGCCAAAAACAAATACCAACAACAACAAAAGAAAACCTTGTTAACTCACTCCTTTGCTTCAGTATAATTTTATTCATAAAATAATCACTTATTAGATATTGATTACAGGCAAAATTATACTTTGTTAGACACTTAAAAAATTCTTGGAAGCGGCCGGGCGCGGTGGCTCATGCCTGTAATCCCAGCACTTTGGGAGGCTGAGGTGGGTGGATCACAAGCTCAGGAGATCGAGACCATCTTGGCTAACACGGTGAAACCCCATCTCTACTAAAACTACAAAAAATTAGCCAGGCGTGGAGGCGGGCACCTGTAGTTCCAGCTACTCAGGAGGCTGAGGCAAGAGAATGGTGTGGACCTGGGAGGCGGAGCTTGCAGTGAGCTGCGATGGCGCCACGATTGCACCACTGCACTCCAGCCGGGGCGACAGAGCGAGACTCTGTCTCAAAAAAAAAAAAAAGAAAAAAAAGAAAAAAGAAAATTCCTGGAAGCTGGGTGCAGTGGCACGTGCCTATAGTTCCAATTACTCGGGACACTGAGGAGAAAGGATTGCTTGAGCCCAGGAGTTTGAGTCCAGCCTGGGCAATATAGCAAGATCCTATCTCTTAAAAAAAATGTTTAAATGCCTGGATCTACCTTTTCTTTGGTCATAAATAAGTTGACTGTGATGGTCACTTTTATTTCTATTGAGGCTAAGCGCCCAGGCCCTGTAGCAGGCCAGCCCCTTCTCTCTGCTGTGTGATTCTGAGTACATGAATTCACCTCTCTGAACCTTTCTCCATGGATAAAATGGAATCACAATTCCTCCCCTAAAGTTGGCTGGGCGAGATTTCCACACATTGCTTATGAAGCTGACACAATGCCTTGCATGTAGTAGGTGTTCAATAAATGGTAGCTATTACTCGTGAATGTCTTCTGCAGGAAGAAAGTCAGTCTGTCAGTTCTGTGACAGTATCCTGTGGAAACGGGTGGGTGGATCTGTGCCCAGGTTGGAGAGTTTGTTTAGGGTGATCTGACTTAAAATTTAGGCCACATGGGCCGGGCGCGGTGGCTCACGCCTGTAATCCCAGCACTTTGGGAGGCCGAGGCGGGCGGATCACAAGGTCAGGAGATCGAGACCACGGTGAAACCCCGTCTCTACTAAAAATACAAAAAAATAGCCGGGCGAGGTGGCGGGCGCCTGTAGTCCAGCTACTCAGGAGGCTGAGCCAGAAGAATGGCGTGAACCCGGGAGGCGGAGCTTGCAGTGAGCCGAGATCCCGGCCACTGCACTCCAGCCTGGGCGACAGAGCGAAACTCCGTCTCCAAAAAAAAAAAAAAAAAAAAAAAAAAAAAAAAAAATTTAGGCCACATGGCACATGGAAAATGGAGAGTGTCTCGGGTCCCTCACTTTGAGAACTAGAATCTCTCCAAAGGTTTCATGTACCCCAATAGGAAATGGTGACCCCAAGAAACCAAAGAAAGGGAGCTGGTGGTTGTGGGGAGACACTGGAGGGCTGCATACCCTGCCCCTCGCCCAGTGCTGCTGGGTTTCCCACAAAGCCAGTGAGGTCCGTCTGCCCCCAGGAAGTCATCAGAGGCTGTGGCTGAGGAGACAGGCACTGGGGGCCTCCGTGGACCGCTATTGGAGTGAAATGGCCTGGATGGAATTGGGCGGACAGGGTGCTGCCTCAGCAGGCTGGGATGTGCTGGTCTGTCAGAAAGTGCTCATAAATAGCATGCCCCTTGCGAAAGCAGGCGAGTCTGCAGACGGCCGTGGATCCTCTGTTCTTCCCGAGGCTACAGCAACAGGTTCATTCTGGGATGGGTTGGGGGTGGGGAGAGAAAAGCCACCCTGGCAGGCCCGGACCTTTGGTGGTCTCTGTGGGACGTGTATGGCTGACCGTCTGCAAAACAACCAGGGCCTCCCTTAAGGGTCAGGTCCCAGTGAGAGGACCCTGACAGCCCAGCTGGGGGTGGAACAGGGGACCCTTGTCTGCAGTGGCCAGGGTCCAAGCCCCTGGACACGTGCTTAGGGCAGGGGACCTTCCAAAACAGCCACTCTGAGGGAGGGGAGTGGGCACACATGGTACCTGCCAAGTCCTCCGAGAGTCCCCTGTGAGCTGGACCAAGCCCTGTTTCCTGCTGAGGCTGGGACAGAACAGACAGCCTGCAGGCTGTGCATGGTTAGGCCCGTGTCCAGAGTATGTGGGCTGTGCAGCTGGGCATGCTGGGGTGGCCGTGCTGGGGTGGCTGTGGGTGGGTAACAGTTGGATATGGGGTGTAGATATAGGTGCCTTGTGTACCACTGTGGATGTCTGAAATGGGCAGGGGTGTGAGTGTGTGTGTGTGTGTGTGTGTGAGAGAGAGAGAGAGAGGAACTGTCCTGTGAGTCCACGGGTGAAATATGACTGATAGTGACCATAGAAACTTTTGTGAGTGTGTGCACGTATGTGTGTGTGTGCTGACAAACAGAACAGTCCTGTGTGTGTCCATGGTTGCAACAATGATAAGCGTGCTTCCATGTGACTGCAGCAGGGGCCTGTATTGCGTGTCACTGTCCCTGTAGCAATGAAGGAGAACTGTCGGTGTCTGGGTCTTGAAGTGGCTGGTACACAGTCGTATTCAATAAATGCTTAAGGAATGAGTAACTGAACGCAGGGAGACTGACCCAGATCAAGTGTCCAAGGAGCTGGTCTTACAAGCGCTTTCTCTAGAGGTCTGTCTGTCCATCTCCCGACATTTGGGGTCTCCTGTGCCTCCTGGTCACCCAGCCCAGAGCCTGGCACTGTGTAGGTGCTCATGGAATCTTTGGTGAACAAAGTAACCAGTGAACAAAAGAGTTCCTGGAGTATGGAGGTGGGAGAGACCCCTGTAGAGGAAACCCCCTGAAGCCCACCCTTCGGCCAGGGTCCGGGGATGGGACATCTGCAGAGAGCTCTGGGAAACCTGGGTTTCGGGGAGCATCTGGATCGGGGAAAAAGGGCATGGGCTTTGGAGCCAGGCCCGACCCAGGCCACTTCCTCTGTGTGCTTGAGGAAGTGGCCTCGCTTTGCTGAGCCTCAGAGTTCCCCTCTGTCCAATGGGGCTCCTGATCCCACTGTCTCAGTCCACGTGGCCCATGGTAGGTGCTCAATGGACGTTTGCTGAATGACTGAAAGACCGAATGTCGATCATAAGTTATGGCCATGCCCTGTGGGCAGCAAGGCTCTGTAGCTCATCCTGGACTCCAGTCACAGCAACACCTGGCTTCTCCCAGGTGGATCCAATGACCCATTTTCCTTTGATTTGAAGCCAGAGGTATTCCTGGGGAGATGGCGGAACAGCATGGAGCTCCTGAGCAGGCTGCAGCTGGCAAGAGCCATGGAGGCCTTGGGGGCAGCTACAAGGTACTGGGCAGGGAGGGGGTGAGAGGGCTGCTCCTGGGCCTCAGGGTCATTTTCCCAGCCAAGCAGCACCTCTGCAGAAAGGAAGAGCCATCCTTCCAACCACCCGGGCCAAGACAAATCACTCCGGGTGGGTCCTCTGACTGCCACCCTCCTGTTAAAAACTTGCTTCATGACTTTGCTGCATCCTCCCTCATCTGCAAAACGGAAATGGTCACCCACATCCTGCCTGTGTCAATGGATCAGAGAGGCTCGGGAGTTTCTGGAAACACGGCTCTGAGCTCTGACTCTCCTGTCTGACCTCAGCCTGGTGTCTTGCCCTCTCTGGGGAAAAGGGCACAGGTTTTGGAGGTTCTCTGGACCTCAACAGCCCCATCTTCGAAATGTGGATGGTGCCCAGACATTGTGGCCAGAGTTGGTGTAAAGGCTAAAAGAAATGAGTGAAGCCAGCTAACAGAGGGAGGTGCCCTAGAAATCCGAGAGAAGGTTTGAATGTGTTGGCTCTGCCCTTTCCAAACCATCTCCGGGGGCTTTTTGGGAAACTATTCCAGACAGAGTCTAAGGATGGGTCAAATCCCAGTGCCTCCTCTTAACTTGCTGTGCAGCCCGAGGCAAGTATCTTACCCTTTCTGAGCTTCTTTGATCCCTTCTGTAAAATGACTAGAACAGATGTTCCCTGGGGATCTTCTACAAAGTCAGTTTGTGTTTCCAGGCGGGTGAGAGAGGCAAAACCTTGGTCTGCCTTTGCAGCCCCTCTCTGCCTAGGCTTGGGGCGGGCAGAGGTCTTCCCAGAGATTGCAAACAGGTGTTTCATTTTTTAAAGGGGGAAATTTCACGTTAAGGAAAATACAGATTTCTGAATTTTTCTCTTGAAAAAATTGGAACTTGGACCTCATTCCCTCATTACCAGAAGCAGCTTCATTTCCCCACCAACCTCTCGGGTTATTTCAGTCTGCTGGGCTCCCTACCTGGCTCCTGCCGGACATTAGAGTTGCAATCCCTCGTTTAATTGATCTCACTGAAGTTCCTGAACGCGTTTCCCTCCATGGCCATTAGAGGGCAGTGCAGGCCCGCTTCGGTGCTGGCTCCAGGCTGGAGAGATGCAGAGAGGATAAAGCAGATGGTACCTCTCTCTAATGCCCCAAGGAGGGGCAGAGGCTAGAGCCGGGAGCCCAGCAGAGGTGCGATGTTTAGGACGCTGCTCTTCTAGGTGATCGTGTACGAACTAGAGAACTTCCAAGGCAAACGCTGCGAGCTTTCGGCCGAGTGCCCCAGCCTGACCGACAGCCTGCTGGAGAAGGTGGGCTCCATCCAAGTGGAGTCCGGGCCGTGAGTACCTAGACCCCCAGTCCCTCGCCACAACCCTGAACCTTCTGGGAGTGTGGAGGCCCCAGTCTGAGCTCTAGATCTGTTGTGGGGCTTTTGACAACTCCCCTGCCTTCTCTGGCCTCATTTTCCCCATCCGTAAAATGAGAGTTGAAGAATTCTCTAGAATCCTAGATATCTGCAGCAAATCCCAGGATACCTGAGGTTGGAAGAAAAACAGCAAGGACGACCTAGCACCTAGCTCAGTGACTGGAACATGGGATTTAGTATTTATCATTATAATAATCATTGTAACACCTAAAATTTAACAGGCATTATGTCATTGAATCCTCAGGACCCTGTGAGAGAGGTGTCATTCTTATTCCCACTTTATAGATGGGGAAACTGAGGCCAAAGTGGGTAAGTGCCCCATCCATGTCCACAAGGCAGGCAGGTATCCCACCTGGGCCCTGAATTCCCGCCTTTGGATTGCAAGTCCAGGCTCTGGCACTAACCACCTGGGTGATCTTCGGCAAGTTGCTTCACACACCAGGCCTCCATTTGCTCATCTGTGGAATGGGGATAACAATGGTACGTACTTCAGAGAGAGTTTTTATGAAAATGAATGCAATGATGCAAATAAATACATATTAAAAACAACATAATACAAAGAAGAAGAAAAGGAAGAGGAAGAAGTCGCTGTCACCTATGGGTACTTATTGTGTGCCAGGCATTGTGCTAAAGACTTTTCTGAGTGCCTTGCACAGAGGCTAGATTCTCAGTAACATTCGCTAGGATGATTTTCTGGCCGAAAGTCTCAGACAGTTCCTGGTATGTCCTAGCAGCTCCTTTAATTACAGATCCAGGAATTAGCAGTAGGGTTGGAGGGAGGGTGCAAGGTTCAAGGTCAGCAGCTCTTGGATCCTTCTCTCACTAAACTTGAATGCTTCCTCAGCTGCAGCAAAGGTGACCCAGGCAGGCCTCTTCCTCCCTCAGGTGGCTGGGATTTGAGTCTAGGGCCTTCCGCGGGGAGCAGTTTGTTCTGGAGAAGGGGGATTATCCTCGCTGGGATGCCTGGTCCAACAGCCGTAATAGTGACAGCCTCCTGTCCCTCCGGCCTGTGAACATTGTGAGTATGGTTCCTGCCCACTTCTGGGTGTTCCTGGAAGCAGGGTGCACCGAGAGCTTTTCAGGAAAGCTCATTGCACGAGCTGGGCTGAGGGCTTGGCCCAGATGGACCTGGCCTGGGAAGGGCCCTCATATTTCTGATCTGAATAATTGTGTGGGACAAGAAGTGGGATATTGAATGGACATTGGGTTGGGAGTTGAGACACCAGGACTCACATCTTGAATTAAACCAGCATAACACTGGGACTTTTCTTTGTAACCCTATAAAAACGATGATCCACATGGTCCAGTCTCAAATCAGTATTGTTATCAAAGAAATGCAGTCCAGGAAATAACTTCAGAAAGTAACTTCAAAATACTTTCGGCCGGGCGCGGTGGCTCAAGCCTGTAATCCCAGCACTTTGGGAGGCCGAGACGGGCGGATCACAAGGTCAGGAGATCGAGACCATCCTGGCTAACACAGTGAAACCCCGTCTCTACTAAAAAATACAAAAAACTAGCCGGGCGAGGTGGCGGGCGCCTGTAGTCCCAGCTACTCGGGAGGCTGAGGCAGGAGAATGGCGTAAATCCGGGAGGCGGAGCTTGCAGTGAGTTGAGATCTGGCCACTTCACTCCAGCCTGGGCCACAGAGCGAGACTCCGCCTCAAAAAAAAAAAAAAAAAAAAAAAAAACTTTTGAGTTATCCACTTGTGTTTCTCTAGCACCTGAAAGGGACACAGTCACAGTGACACTAGTTATTTATTTATTTATTTATTTATTTAGACAGACTCCTGCTCTGTCGCCCAGGCTGGAGTGCAGTCTCTCTCTCTCTCTCTCTAAACATTTTTTATTTATGTATTTTTATTTCATTTTGAGTTGCAGTCTCGATCTGTCACCCAGGCTGGAGTGCAGTGGCATGATCTCTGCTCACTGCAACCTCTGCCTCCTGGGTTCAAGTGATTTTCCTGTCTCAGCCTCCTGAGTAGCTGGGACTGAAGGCACCTGCCACCATGCTGGGCTAATTTTTGTATTTTTAGTAGAGATGGCGTTTCGCCATGTTGGCCAATCTGGTCTTGAACTCCTGGCCTCAAGTGATCTGCCCGCCTTGGCCTCCCAAAGTACTGGGATTACAGGCATGAGCCACCATGCTTGGCCCACAGTGACACTTTAAACACCGCCCTTCTTCCTCCCCTGCTTCACTCATATCCAGTAGCTGCGCCAACCCTTTCTCTTTGTCACGTAACTGAGTCCTCCTTAGAGGGCAATGGAAGAGGGGAAACCGGGAAGATGAAACTGGCATCTGGTTAGGAAAGAGAGAAAGCTCATATGTTGATACTTTTGATCTCCGTCCACCCTCTCTAGGCCTCAGTTTCTCTATCATTTGAATGATGGGATTGAACAAGATCTGAAAATTCCTTTTCAATTTTATAATCTATGGCTCCAGATTCCTAAATCGACCAGCTTTGGGGGAATCTCCCCGTCCCTCCTACAGTGAATTTGGGAGTGGAGGCATCTCCTGAGTTCCTTCCCTCCTGCGGCAGGTTTGGGGGTGGGTGTTATTTTGTGGTGACCTGTTGATTCTTTCCGGCATCTGGAGCCTCCTTGACCTCTGTTCTGGATACGGGAGCAGCCGCTCACCCCACGATATTGCCCTCAGGATAGCCCAGATCACAAGCTGCATCTGTTTGAGAACCCAGCTTTCAGTGGCCGCAAGATGGAGATAGTGGATGATGACGTGCCCAGCCTTTGGGCTCATGGCTTCCAGGACCGTGTGGCAAGTGTCCGCGCCATCAATGGGACGTAAGGGACCCAACCCTCACCCTTGCCCCATCTTCTGGTCAGCCATGCCTCTGGCTCCAAACAGAATCAGTGCCCATACTTTCTTGCATGATTGATGTTCCCTGCACTCCTGACCCACTGAGATTTCTAGGCAGCCTTGACTTAAATCAAGTGAAATCTGTTCTTTCCACCTGTTCCCATCTGAGTCCTCCTTTTGTGTTTTTTTTGTTTTTTTGTTTTTTGAGATGGAATCTCATTGTCGCCCAGGCTGGAGTGCAGTGGCGCGATCTCAGCTCACTGCAAGCTCCGCCTCATGGGTTCACGCCATTCTCCTGCCTCAGCCTCCCCAGTAGCTGGGATTACAGGCGCCTGCCACCATGCCTGGCTAATTTTTTGTAGTTTTAGTAGAGACAGGGTTTCACCGTGTTAGCCAGGATGGTCTTGATCTCCTGACCTCGTGATCCGCCCGCCTCGGCCTCCCAAAGTGCTGGGATTACAGGCATGAGCCACCGTGCCTGGCCCCTTCCTCCTTTTCTAAACATCCCCATGCCCTTGAACTGATTCTTGAAATGTTTTTCCCTCTCACAACTCTTGTGCTTCTTACCAAGGGGCCCAGGATGTGTGCAGCTATTGAGATGTGACACAAGTTGTACAGAGGAGAGCAGGCTTATCACCTACCTCTTTCTAGGCTTAATATCACCGTTAATGCAGTCTTAGGATCACCTGCTTTTTGTTGGTGGTTATATCTCACTTGTGGGCTTGTAATCTGGGGTTGGACCTTGAGAGACGCCACCCATCCCTGATAATAATTTATTCAATAATTTTTTACTGAACATCTACTATATGCTGGTACGCAGATACACAGAACAGCAAGAATGACACATAACCTCTGCCCTCAAAAAAATTACATAATCTGGGGCCAGGATCACCTCAGGTCAGGAGTTCATGACCAGCCTGACCAACATGGAGAAACCCTGTCTCTACTAAAAATACAAAATTAGCCAGGCATGGTGGCGCATGCCTGTAATCCCAGCTACTCGAGAGGCTGAGGCAGGAGAATCGCTTGAACCCGGGAGGTGGAGGTTGTGGTGAGCTGAGATCGTGCCACTGCACTCCAGCCTGGGCAACAAGAGCAAAACTCCAGCTAAAAAAAAAAAAGGGCCGGGCTCAGTGGCTCAAGCCTGTAATCCCAGCACTTTGGAAGGCCGAGACGGGCGGATCACGAGGTCAGGAGATCGAGACCATCCTGGCGAACACGGTGAAACCCCGTCTCTACTAAAAAATACAAAAAATTAGCCGGGTGAGGTGGCGGGCGCCTGTAGTCCCAGCTACTCGGGAGGCAAAAATTAGCCGGGTGTGAGGTGGCGGGCGCCTGTAGTCCCAGCTACTCGGGAGGCTGAGGCAGGAGAATGGCGTAAACCCGGGAGGCGGAGCTTGCAGTGAGCCGAGATCCGGCCACTGCGCTCCAGCCTGGGCGACAGAGCGAGACTCCGTCTCAAAAAAAAAAAAAAAAAGATTACATAGTCTGATAGACAGACAAAGTAACAGGTATTCGCAACGTATTGTGATCAGGATTGTGATTGGGATGCACAGGGGGCTCTGGGAGTCCCAGTGAGGTACTCGATTCAGCCTGCAGGAGTCTGGAGACGTCTAAATTGAGCTGTAAGGGATGAAAGTGGAAAAAAGGGGGAAGGAGAAGGATGAGGTGAGGAAGAACGTTCCAGGCAGAAGGAATCATTATTACAAAGCCCCCCTGCCCGCCCCCCACCACACGCACACAGCAGGTTCTGGGAAAGTAGAATAAGAGAGGCTGCGGTGTCGAGTCGTGAATGGGATGTTGAGAGGTAAGACTAGAGATGCTTTGGGAAGGGTCCTGTGAGCAGGGTAAGGAGTTTAGATTCGTCCCAAGGGCTCTGGGGAGCTTAGGGGGAACGTAGGCAGGCAGTGCATGGTCAGATGCTGGCTGGAGGCAGGGTGACTGGAAGCAGACCGTCCACATCCCAACCTTGGTCTCCCGGCAGGTGGGTTGGCTATGAGTTTCCCGGCTACCGTGGGCGTCAGTACGTGTTTGAGCGGGGCGAGTACCGCCACTGGAATGAGTGGAACGCCAGCCAGCCGCAGCTGCAGTCTGTGCGCCGCATCCGCGACCAGAAGTGGCACAAGCGGGGCTGCTTCCTCAGCAGCTGAAAGGCACCCAGACCTCAAAGACCCAGACCCACGCTGCGGGGGCTGCAAGGGCAAGAAGAGGAGGCTCCAGGGCTGGGCGAGGGCCGACCTGTCCACCCTTCCCTGGAATCTGCTCAATAAAGCCTGGGGTTGGTCCCCCACCTGCCATGTTCCTCGGCATCACTTCCTGAGGGAGCCAGGCCTGGGGCAGGACCTGTGGGAGAGGCGTGCTGAAGGAGGCTGGGGCTTGAGTTCTGAGACTCCCAGGAAGGGGTTGTGAACTTTGCCCATATCCTAGGCTCTAATCCTTTCAGGCAGAACCATGTGCTCCTACTGCCCTGATCTTGTGTTTGTCTGCTGGTGCGTGTTTCCACCTGAATGTCTGTCAGTCTACCCACCCACTCATCCATCCATCCATCCACCCACCCACCCGTGTGCCCATCCATTCATCTACTCACCCATCCATCCATCCATCCACCCACCCACTCGCCTGCCAGCCTATCCGTCCATCATCACATCGACTCAATACCCCACCACCCGCACCCATGTGCCATCCATTCATCTATCGCATCCGCATCCATCCATCACCCACCCACTCGCCTGTCCGTCATCCATCCGCCCATCCATCAAATCGTCACTTACCCCTAGCACTCCTTTATGTCTACGTCATCTAAAATCACCCATCCGTCCGTCCGTCCACCCACCCACTTGCTCACGCATCATCCGTCCATCCGCCCGTCGTCCACCACCACTCATCCTGTCCATCCATCCACCCAATCCATCACCACCACCCGTGTGCCCATCCGTTCATCTGCTCACCATCCATCCGTGATAAACCACCTGCTCTTAGTAAATCGTCAAAATCACCAATCATCCATCCTTACCCACACACCCACCACTCGGCCTATCCATCCGTAGACATTCGCCCACCACCACTCGCCTGTATCCATCCACTCCCTGCCCGTTCGTTCATTAATCAATCACTTTACACCACTTGCCGCTCTTCATAATCCGTCCGTCGCCAATCGTCCACCCACCATCTGCGTCGTCGTCAAATACACCCACCCGCTCAATCGTCCGTCAATCGCCAAGTCCATCCACCACTCGTCAAATCGTCCATCCGCCCATCCAATCACCACTTCCCATTATTGCCAATCCATTCATCCACCAGCTCGCCTATCGTCATCCGCCGTCACCACCCGTGACGCCATCATTCATCTGCCTGTATCCATCCGTAATCACCCATCCATCAACATCCGTGTGCCCATCCATTCATCCACCCACTCGCCTATCCATCCATCCATCCACCCATCCACCCACCCATGTGCCCATCCATTCATCTACTCACCCATCCATCCATCCATCCATCCATCCACCCACTCGCCTATCCATCCATCCACCCACTTACCCATCCATCCATCCATCCACCCACTTACCCATCCATCCATCCATCCACCCACCCACTGGCCTATCCATCCACCCACTCACCTACCCATTCATTCATCCATCCACCCACCTATCACCCATTCATCCATCCATGCATCTATCCATCCATCCATCCATCCACCCACTTACTCATCCATATATCCATTCATTCTTCCTTCCATCTTCCTATATTTATTCTTTCCATTAATTCATCCATTTTTCCTTCCACTCACCCATCTTTCTATCTATCCTTTTATTCACATATCCATCAATTTTTCTTTCATTCTACTTGTCCATCAATCTGTCCATCTGATCCTCCTTCCTCTCTCCCTCCCTCCTTCCTCCCTCCTTCCCTTCCTTTCCCTCCTTCCTTCCTTCCTTCCTTCCCTCCCTCCTTCCTTCTCTCCTTCCTTCCATTCATCTATCCATTATTTCCCCTTCCACCTCTCTGTGGGTCAGTCTCTGTTGTCATTAATGTATTGAGCAAATGCCATGCCCTGTTCAGTGTATTCAGCAAATGCCATGCCCTGTTCGAGGCCTAAGGACACAGCACAATGTCCTACCCTCCAGGTTCTCACCTTCTATAGGAGAGACAGAAAGTAAATAAACAGATCGATTAGGGCTATAATGTTGGGAGGTGGTAAATACCAAGAACAATAAAGTTGGATAAAAATATGGAAATGATGGGGGTGATGGCCAGAGAACTCTGTGCAGAGGAACCGAGACCTCAGTGAACCACTAGAACATTCCAGGCAGGGAAATAACAGGTGCAAAGGCCCTAGGCAGGAGTGTGCTGGCCTAACAGGAAACAGCAGGTCTGGAATGGAGTAAAAGACTGGGGGTAGGGGTCAGAGGGAACAGGATTAGGTCATTTAGGGCTTTGCAGACCATAGCAGACTTTGCTTGTTCTCTGAGGGAGGTAGCAGCCATGGAGCATTTGAGCAAAGTGAGCCATGGTCTGCATTGGGATTGAATAGGATCACACTGGCTAGGGTGCAAACAATACACTTAGTGGCCAAGGAGGGCTGCAGAGAGACCGGTTGGGAGGCTACTGCAGAGAGCCTGGTGAGCTGTGCTGGTGTGGTCCACCTGAGCCTCTCTCTCTCATGCCTCAGTATCTCTGTCCCCTTGCCCAGAGGCCTTCTGCAGCCGTGCCTAGGGTACTGAGTGCCCATCCCACCTCCCCCCACTGACCACTGCTCTGGGCCCCCGTGGATTCATCTGGGCAGTGGGAGTTGCTGGAGGGCTGAACAGACACTGGGTCAGTGCCAGGCATAAATGAAGTCATTATGTATGTATGTATTTAGAGACAGAGCCTCACTCTGTCACCCAGGCAGTGGCGCAGTCTCAGCTTACTGCAACCTCCATCTCCTGGGCTCAAGCAATTCTCCTGTCTCAGCGTCCCAAGTAGCTGGGACTACAGGTGCACACCACCACGCCTGGCTAATTTTTGTATGAGACGGGGTTTCACCATATTGGTCAGGCTGGTCTCAAACTCCTGACCTCAGGTGACCCACCCACCTCGGCCCCCCGAAGTGCTGGGATTACAGGCGTGAGCCACCATGCTCGGCCATAATTGAGTCTCTTCTGCCCCCAGGTAGGAAGAGGAGGGGCCTTCTGTCTGATAGCCAGCTGACAGCAGACCTCCTGCAGGCAGGCCCCGGGACCACCCCTCACCCATCCAACCTCCACGAGCCAACTCTGCATCATTTCCCTGACTTTGTTCCCCTTCTGTGCCCGGAGCCTGTCTCAGCCGCCTGCAGCCTCCCAGTGGGTGATGCAGCTGGTGTGTGGGAGGCCTATGGGGGCCTCAGGAAGGCGTCGAAAAGGATAGAGTAATTTTCAATTACTTTAACCTGCATATTTTACAAACAAGGTGAGAAATCACCTTGGCGTTTTCTGAGTGTATGGGAGACCTGGGCTGGGCATTAGGATCAGATGGAGCAGGGGTGCCCAGCAATGAGACAGATGGAAGGCAGGGGCTTGGCATCCCCAGTGTGGAGATACAGCACCCCTGTTGCCCACCCCTTTCTCCCCTCTGGACCCACCCCTTCCTCCCTTTTGCAAGGAGAGGCCTTGTCATGCTTTATTCTTTTTTTATCTTTTGAGATGGGGTCTTGCTCTGTTGCCCAGGCTGGAGTGCAGGGGCGTGATCATAGCTCACTGCAGCCTCTAATTCCTGGTCTCAAGCAATCCTCCTACCTCAGCCTCCTAAAGCACTGGGATTGCAGGCCTTACACCACCATGCCCAGCTAATTTTTAAAATCTACTTTTTGTAGAGATGACGGTCTTGCTGTATTGCCCAGGCTTGTCTCAAACTCTTGGCCTCAAGCACTCTTCCTGCCTCAGCCTCCTAAAGTGTTGGGATTACAGGTATGAACCAGGTGCCATCCAGTCTGTTATGCTTTTTTTTTTTTTTTTTTTTGAAGCAGAGTCTCACTCTGTCACCCAGGCTGGAGTGCAATGGCTCTGTCTCGGCTCATGGCAACCTCTACCTCCCAGGTTAAAGCGATTCTCCTGCCTCAGTCTCCTGAGTAACTGGAATTACAGGTGTGTGCCACCACACCAGGCTAATTTTTGTATTTTTAGTAGAGATGGAGTTTCACCGTGTTGGCCAGGCTGGTCTCAACTCCTGATCTCGTGATCCACCCATCTCGGCCTCCCAAAGTGCTGGGATTACAGGCGTGAGCCACTGTGCCCAGCTTGTCATGCTTTATAAATCAATGCTTACATCATCTCTTTAAACCCTAAGAATGTCATTGGGAGGGAGGTGTGGTTATTAATTCTATTTCACAGATGAAGAAATGGGCTCAGGAAGGCAACATCACCTTCCTAGAGCCACACAGATAAGAAGTGGTAGAACTGAGATCTGAATCCTGAGGATTGACCCCAGAAAATCCATTCCTGAGTGCCATACACTCTGATGTATCCATAAAGGACAGGAAGTCACCAGGGACATAGAGTTGAAAATAATATCAGCAGTTGCAGCAGAAACAACGGTAATAATAGCTGCCACTATAGAGCTGCTGCCAAACCCCAAGCACATTATTAAGTGCTTTAGAGTTTCATCTTGACTCTACAGACAGGCAATAGTGATCCTCATATGCAGCAAGAGAAACTGAGACCCAGAGAGCTGAAGCAAATTGCCCCAAGTGCCACAGCTCTTAAGTGATGGGACCAGGACTCACATTCAGGTCTATCTCCAAAGCCTGTTTCTCTGCATTCATCAGCTGTTGATGCTGTGGTCGGCCAACCTAATGCCACTGCTGGTGTGGGCAGTGACTTCGTTTATTGAGCATCTACTATAGTCTAGGCACCAGGCCACAAGCTGTCCATGCCTGATCGCAGTTAACACCAACAGGGCCCATGACTGGCTCCTGGGTAACAGGAAGGCTTACAGCGAGGCTGGTTCGAGTGTGAGTCAGTGAGCTCACTCACCATGCCCACTCCCAGGCCAAATGCAGCCCCGGGGTCTGGAGTGGGGTTGATTCCAGAGGTAGGGTTCAGCTGCACTGCCAGATTCATGGCAGCCCCAGGCAGTCACTGATGTCCAAGTGACTCTATCCAAAGCCTCGCACCCATAATAACCATCTGTGCCAGGAAGCTCTTGTTCTTCACACGTACTCCCATACATTGTCCTATGCAGTCCTCAGCTCCAAGAGACTCAGAGTGAGGAAGCCAACTGCTGAGATCACACAGCCAGGGAGGGGCAGAACTGAGATTTGACCCCAGGCCTGTCTAACTCCAAAACCCTGCTCTTAGCCCCAACCTAGACAAAACTGTCTTTTTTGTTTGTTTGTTTGTTTATTTGTTTTGAGGCAGAGTCTTGGTTTCTCGCCCAGGCTGGAGTGCAGTGGCGCAATCTTGGCTCACTGCAACCTCCGCCTCCTAGGTTCAAGCGATTCTCCTGCCTTAGCCTCCCAAGTAGCTGGGACTACAAGTGCAGTCCACCATGCCCAGCTAATTTTTTTTGATATTTTC